TGCTGCAAGTCAAAACAATTCCTGATAACTGCAAACAGCAGTAGTTTCCCACTGCCTGCTATGCAGTGAGGGAGGAAAAGAGAGCTATGTCTCAACAAGTGAGACCCCTGCTTTCAGGGTAGTTCCCCACATCAAGCAAAATGGAAATTTACACCAAGAAATGCTAAAATAGAGGCCCAAACTATGCCAGTGGCAATTGGGGGTAAGTGTGTGTGTGCTGGCCAGACACAGGACTTTTCAAAAGTGAACTTATTTGTGAGCCCAAAGCATCAGGGGCTGAAGTGGGACAGGTGCTTGGGCATAGGGACCTGGAGAGACCTCTGGCTGGAGACACAAGAGCCCTGGCCGGCTCCTCTGAGGCAGACACAGGACCCAACCCTTCCCAGAGCCTTGCCTTAGGCCCCTTTCTGCCAACCCCTGAAAAGGACGGGCCATGCCCCAGCATCAGTGGCGACATCCAAGGCAGAGGCAATAGTGTGCAGGGGTGGGCATATAGGCAGAAGCCCTGTCTCAGAGCAACAGGGTGGATGTTTAACCATTAAGGAAAGATCAGGGACATTTCTTCTCACAAGAGCTATAAATGTACGCAACCTCCTTCAATGGTTAAAATTTAAGACCCTTGCCACTGGGGAGAGGACCTCCTGGCTCAGCAGCCAGCAACCCCGCCTAATGGGCAGAAAGAGAATCGGCCTCTGCAGAGAGAGTTCTTCCCCCTCCCGGGGAAGATCAATAGCCGGACCACTTTATCACAGTGGATTGGGTGCACCTGCCTGGGTCACCAGTTTTCCTGGAGCACATGTTGATGCCCAGGTCATGACACCCTGGGAACTCCTGCAGCCGCTCTTGTTCCATTTCCCAGTGAGCATGGACCCAAAGAACAGAGTGACTAAAAAGGGTCCCAGCAACACACACAACTCTCCCTGGCAACTGCCCTGCATTTTCCCCTGCCCACACCCACCTGCCCAGCTGTCACAGGGGCCCCCAGCCTTGACTCCCGAGAGGAATCTGAGCTCCTCTACCACCTGAATCCAAAATGGCCCAGCCTCAGCCCCTGGCTGGAAGGTGCAGAGACCACAAGGGGCATGTCCAGGCCCAGAGATTCTCCCGGCCCCTTTGGCTTCAGCCCCAGGGAGCACAGATGTCATCATGCTCTGTGGGTGATTGTGCAGCTCAGCCCCCATTCCCGACCCTCCATGCTTATGTGAATAGTTAATTCTTTTCATTGCTGAGTTATACTGTGTTCTATGGATAATCACTTTATCTATTGATCTTTAGATGATTTTAATTATTTCAGGTTTGTGGTATTATAAATAAATCTGCTGGGAATACTTGCATTCAGTTCTTTTTCAAGTTATATGTTTTAGTTATCAAACTGTTGCAGTGTAGGTGAATGTCTTACATTTTAAGATATGAAAAATATGGTCTAAAATTGTTATTCCCTTTGTCATCTTACCCACCCACTCTAACAAAAATTCCAGTTATTCCACTCCCTGGCCAGCACACGCCAGGGTTAATCTTTTTAAACTGTAGTCCTGGAAATGAGTGTAGTGTTAACTCGCTTTCATTTTATTCCATTTCCCTAAGGATTTTTTCATGGTGAGCATTTCTCTATGCATTTATTTACACTGGCTTTATCTCTAGTTGAAATGTCTGCTCAGAATATTTGGCTTACTTTAAAAATGAATTTATTATTTAAACAACAGGAAGATAGTGCAGCATCTATGTATAATATGTTTAAAATTCACTCATTCCTCAATGATTCAAGAGACTTCTTTGCCATATGGAATTGTTAGTTTTAAAATACAAGAAGCAAATTTTTTTCTCAAATATTAGCCTATGTACAATTTAAATCCCACTTGCATGATACACTTATAATTTTAATCTGCATTGCTAATGTGTTCCACTATTTTATTTTAAGTCTAAGCATTCAATAATACATTAAGTGAAGTCAATATTTGTAGCATTTGTCAATATTCTTGCTGCAAATACTCTCATCATCAGTTTCAAACTGCCAAAATGATGGTACTGAACATAGAAATAAGATATTTTAGTAGCACATCATTATATTTTATTTCCACCATACTGATACAATAGTAACAAATATGCTTAGGAATATTTATAATAAAATAGTAAAATAATTGGTAAATGAGAAGTTTTAAATTTTCTTTAAAGTTGCTGTCTTGCTCCCAGCCTGGCCCTGGGATATCTCACTCATTGAAATTTTCACTGGTCCAATGTCAGGTTGTTCAAGGGAATCACAGTGTTCCGTTATTGGCAATAGCCTCACAGGAATACTGGGTCACCTGTCACTTTACACCCACCACCTGCATTTGTTCCCTCTGGAGTCCTCTACTCAGATTCATGCCTAATGATCACACTCCTCCAGTCTGGAGACTAAAGACATTTGCCCATTTGCAGAATCTGGGTTCTCCACAATGAGGGTCTAAAAATGTTCTTTGATGTAAAAGAATGAAACAAAAGTGTCTTTTTTTTTTTTTTAGTCAATGTTTTCATAGGCCATGTCTATGAGGGATACCTTCCCCACATAGGGGATGGGCAAGGTTCCTACCACCTTTGCATCCATGTCGGGGGCAGATAAGTCTCATGTAGCTGAGAGAAAATGTCATGCAGGACAGTCTGCATTTCTGACCTGCATGCACTTGAGAAGACATGTGACATCCCTAAGCTCTGTGATCTCATCTCTATAATGGGGATGGTTCTTGAAGCCTCATGGGGACAATGATCATCATAGAAACTATTTTAGGTTTGTTGTTCCTAAGCTAAACCAAACAAGCATACAAACCTGCCCAGAAAGTAACAATTACACCAACATGCCCCACTCATGAACTTCAGTGGAACATTAAAAACCTAGAACGTCATTCCTGAGAGTCTGGGACTCCTGTGTGAGCTCTAGACCTCCACCTCCTGGGATTCTTGGAGATGCCACTGACTGGATGTCCCACCTTGTCCCACACAGTGTGCCGCTGAGTTAACTCAGAGACTTCGTGATGCCTGCAGGATGCGGGCCCTCCAGAAATGCCCCTTGTGAAGGTGGTGAGGTTCCTGGTCCCAGCTTTCCTGGCTGGAAATACCCCCACGTCTGCACCCTGATGCCCATCCACCCGGCCTTCTCCAGGGCCCAGTGGTTTCTCGAAGAGCTATTAACAAGGTGAGCACGTGTCCCCTCTCCACTGCAGTGGGGACTCTGCCCATTGCTACCTGTGTTTCTTGGCAATGTCATCTCATCACTCTGAGCCTCAGAATGCTCCTCTGGAAAGCGTGGTGGTACAGGATCAACATCATAGGGCTCTCGTGGCACTGCTGTAGGGACAAGCCATGGCAGTGCTTACCTGCTGCTTGGCTCAGCAGAAAGGGCTGCTGGATCAGCTGTGGTTTTCATTCCACTTATGTCTGTCTGTCCCATGGAAAGTGCCATGAACCCCCATCAGCAGCCTGTGGCATTTGAGTTTGGTAAAGCAGTTGGAGAAAACCTGTCAAGCAGTTTGAGATTTCACCAGCTGACCTTGTCCTGGTCCTAGGTGTAGACACATGGGGGATAGCAGTGGATAGAAGGGATCCAGGCCCACTCAGATGGCTCAGATGGTTCTGGTTGGAACTCATTTTATTCAATTGCGCTAAGCTCCTACCACAGGCAGGCACTCTTGGAGATACTTAGCCTGACACAAGGAATGAAGCAGACACAATCACTGGCCTCTGTTCTAGTCACTAAGTCAGACAGTCACACTGTCCATCATTAAAAGGTCATGTCCACCATTCATCAGAGCTGATGCCATCAAGGTGTTTGCTGCCTCTGGAGGGATACCTCTGTATAATGATTGGGGTGAAACACCACAGGAGCAATTAGCAAAGTGAGTGGTCTGTGGGAGCAGAAGGAGGGTCTCCTGTGTTAGCAGATTGGGTGCTTAGGAAGGGCAGCGTTTGGCAGATCCCCAATCTTACACATCTTCTGATTCCCCAGGGCGGCTTGAGCTCTGATGGCTTCTCCATAAGGAGACAGGAGTCAAACAGGACAGTGGATGGGGTCCCTGGACTTATTGACCCAGAGGGAAGGCTGGGCTGAGTCGACCCTCACAATTCAATCCCCAACTCAGACCCATCCTGCTCTGCCTGCCCCTCTCCACAACCACCTCCTCTGAGCCCCATGGGCGGGCTTAAAACATGATGGTGATGAGCAAGCTGCTCATAAGTCTGTCTCAGTCCTCAGCCCAGATGCCCAGGGGTATGGAGGATTAGGGTGAGCAGCGTAAAAGACCGTCAGGAGAGCTGCCAGTGGGAAGAAGAGTCTCACACAGACTCCATGTTAAACCTGCTACTTCCACGAATGCTCCAACCATGACAGCCACACAGGTGTCTAGGGTTGGCATAGGACTCTCCTCTGGATGGGGAGGGGCCTGCACAGAGGCTCAGTCCTAAATAAGGGTGTCATGGGAGGGCAGAGTGGAAGGAAAGACCAGAACTCTGACTTTATTCCCCACCTGCCTCTCCCCAGGGCCACTGCTTCTGTGATGGGAACCTGACCAGATATGATACAACATTTTGGCTAGCCACTCCTTTTCCCTGGGTTCATCGTGAAGCAGGCCTTGGTGATGCACAGCCTCCCTGTCAAGCACCCGGTGGGCCTCGTAAGAAGTCTTTGGGTGGAGTAGGAACAACTGGAGCCTACAGAGGCACAGTGGGAAGGTGAGGGGACTGTAGTCTGGGAAGAGGATTGGGTGAGTTGGGTGGGGTTTGGGGTGTTTCATGGGACAGTCTTCCATTAACGACAGTCACATTTTTCCTGTGTGTGGAAATACATGGGAAAGTGAGGCATGTGCAAGTACCTGTCTCTTTAACCTGCTCTACAACCACTTAAAGAGCTCAAGCACACCCAAGAGCCAGAGGAAGGGCCCGCTCCTGGGCTAGAGCCCAATCCAGGTCTGATAGTGCTGGAGCCTCTGGACCACCAGCTCTGATCTGAGAGCCAGCTCCATCCTCAACAACCGACTACCCTATGGCTGTGACCCTTAAGCACCATAGAAGGGACGAGAAGCTTCCCCTCCTGACCTTCCCTCCAAGACTGGTGGCCGAGCAAATAAGAGCAATGGATGCAGTGAGTCTTGGTCTTTCAAGGTGGGAGGGACAGGACTTTCCTCTGCCCTTAGCTGCCCCAACCTGCCTTTCCCTGATCTCAACTCCTATGATCTTGATGCAAATCACAGCTCAACCACTTTACCACACATGGGTCCTTGATAACTTTCTCAACCCCCAAGCATTGCTGTCCAGCCAACTCCATGGGCTGTGGAGGTGGGCACCCCAGGCCCTGCTGCACAGAGTGGCTGTGCAGATTAAATGAGGGAGAGGAGACAGAAAACTGGGTGGGGTGTGGCCAGGATTGTGGGGAGGGGAGCTCTCTGTGTGTAGCCGGATCCATGGCTCAACCACCCAAGAGCACATAGGTTCAGTGGCCTCAGCACTTATCAGGCCACTGATGTGTGTTTAACACCAAGTGAGACAAACAGCTGTGGTTGTAGCTGTCACAAGGGAATGTGCACTGAATGGGGAATTATTCCAGAGGAATGTCAGATGCTGGAAGATGCCCTTTTGGGGTGAGCAGACATAAGCCACTTCCTGGTATCTTGGAGTCCCTGAGGATGGGCTGGATGCAGATGCTACTGTCCCTTCCCACAAGGGTCTTGAGCCCTGGGGCATCCAGTGCTGGGTGCCCTGGGTGGACAGAAAACAAATCCCATGGATTCCAAGGCTCAGGCAAATCCTCAGCTTTCTGCACATTCAGTCTTGACTAGTGTCTCTTTCAGGGACTGAGAACCCTGAACTGGGGGGTGGCAGGGCTGGGTGACACTCCCCTTTCTTCCCAGGAGCTGTTCAAGAAGGTGCTGCCACACCAGTGCCTGGGCTCCATCTGGTCACAGAGGACTGAGCCTAGAAAGGGGCACATGGTATCCACTGTCAGTGCCACTGTATTACAATTCAACCACGTGGCTACTTGTGTGATCACCACCTGCCTTGGGGACCCAAGCATGACGGCCCAGGACAGGGCCAATATGGTGGAGCACTGGATTAAAGTGGCCAAGGTATGTTAGGGGAGGCCCAGCAGCATCCCTGTGGGGATCCTTGAAAAATGCCTCTGCTGCCCAGACAGCTGTCAGGACTGAGGACTGAGATAAGAGCCCCAGCACAGCCCCAGGTCCCCTCTGCCAGGCTCACTCAGATTTTGACTCCCCTAATCCTGTGCTGGGGGGTTCACTTCATTCGTGGTTCCTTCCTTGATTTGATTTGGGATCCTCCTCATTCTGAGAGTTGGTATTTGGGTGCTAAATGTGCCCACCCTGAGCATCTGTCCTATCAAGAGGAGCAGCCAATCTAGGGTGCCTGAAGCGACAGCACATGTCTCACAGCACATGTCTCCTCTTCCCCAGGAGTGCAGGACCCTGAGGAACTTTTCCTCCTTGCGCGCCATCCTGGCCGCTCTGCAGAGCGTGTCCATTCATCGACTGCAGGAGACTTGGGGGAAAGTTTCCAGGTGCGTAGGCCTCTCCCATCACAGCAAGCCTGCTAATGTGTCTCCCATATGTCTCCCAGTGTCCCCTCACCTTCTGGGAGGCAGCCAACCCTGGGGACAAAGACTGGTCTTGTGGGCCGGGTCTCTAAGGCTCTCTGGCTCCTCAGGCCACTAACTCTTCTTCAGGAGTCAGTCTCCTTCAATGCCAGACACTGCATTGATCCAAATGGGAGATTTTTGTGTTTCCAGTACCAGAACCCTATGCCCAGTTGAAACCCAAACTGATCAAAACAGAACTTCTCCTTCAATATGGGAAGGGGCCCCAGAGACCACTATGAGAGTCCTACCCTAGTCCCACAGAGACCCTCCTGCTCAGAGGAACCCAGTGATACCCTCAGCAAGGCAGTAGGAAACATGAGATTGTTTAAAGGAATTTGCTGTTAACCCTTCTAGCCATTTTTTCCTAATCATGCCTTTCCTCTTTCCATCTCTTCAGGAGGCACACAGTTACCGTTAAAAAACTGTTCAAAGCGGACAACTCCTGAAGCAGGGAACAGTTCATTAAGGTAAAGTGAGCCTGGACGTCTGCAGAGAGGAGGGCAAGAGGGATGGGGACACCTATGGATGAGGACAGTAGGGGGTGGGGTAAGGGCAGAGGGTGGGGTGGAAACTATGTGGAGGGGAGCTATGGGGGCAAAAGAGGGACGATTGTAATAATCTGAACAATAAAGATTTATTAAATTTAAAAAATGAAAAGAAAAAATCAATAACAGATAGAAATTCAAAACAAATCCACCACCAACCCCCCCTCCCCCCCAAAAAAAATAAAATAAATAAAAAGACAAAACAAAACAATGGACTTTGAGAGAATGACGCGATCTGACATCCCATCACATGAGCTCTACTTGACATTATTCAGAAGCCATTTACTGAGCACTCAGCAGACACACAAGGCTGTTCCCACCAGGAGGCAGGACTCACTCAAAGCCACTGTGAAAGCTCCCATCACATGGACCCACATGAGGCACTGGGACTGAGTCTAAGAGACCACTGCATGTTTTTAAGCCAGTGAGTGACAATATCTGAATTTCCTGTCATTTCAAACCCTTCAAGGTGCAGACTTGAAAATGAAGCCATATGAGCAGTGACTTCCATGATATCACACTTTGGACCCCAGGGCTGTTTTGTCTAGTGTTTCATGCTGTGTCCCACTCATCAGATACAAAGGGCACCAGCCCACTGTGTTAGGAGCCTTATCTATAGCTGATGACTTTGGATAGGAATGGTGTCTAGGATCATCTTCATTGGACAGGTTGGGAGACTGGGATGGTCCTGAGAGGCCTTCCCTGGACACAGAACTAATTTATAAAGGAGGAGTGGAGGCAGCTTTCTCCCCCTAGTAGGGGACCTGGTACATTTCCAGGGAGCTGGGGCAAGGGTTATATTGGGTATTGGTGTACAGGGAGGAGGTGATGTGGGCAAAGAGGGTGAGAGGTCAACAGCCCAGAGAGGGCTTAGGTAGCTTTGATTGGGGGAAGTGCCCAGCTCTTGGAACCTTGAAGTGGTGACCTCACTTTGTTGGTGACCAATCCCCAACAGAAATTAGAACCGTGGTAACCATACCCCCACATTCTAGAGGCAACTGCCTTTCCAGCTCACTTGAGTGGAAAGCGTCAGGAGAATAGGATGGCTCTTTGTTGCTTTCCATCAATCCGAGGCCATGGGCAGAAGAAAGCCCAGAGAGAGAGAGGTTGCTGTTGCTGTAGAAACTGGTACAAGTGCCGCCACCAACATCCCTCGGCCCCTGGCAGGAGGACCCATCGGGTAACTGTGGGCATCCCAGGGAAGACTTTTCCTAGTCAGACCAGACCGTGGCCCCCAGTTGTGAAGGCCCAACCTTCTGACTCCTCATCCCAGGTATGTGTTTGTTGAGGGTGGTGCGGGACAACGTGAAGTGAGGGACACACATCCTGGGCAGGAGCAGGTAGGTAGGTGTCAGAAGCCTGGAGGGTGTGTCATATTCATTGCCCTGATCGAGGCTCACAGAGAGGGTAGCTGAGTGTTGGGGATGGACTCTATTAGCCACTTGTTAATTGGGGGTCCTCACGGGATCATCTCAAACCTTCCCTGCATGGAGGTCATTGCAGATGCCCCTTTCTGTCTGGTCTGGGGAGCGGGACTGGAAGTTGGCATCTCCCCCACTGGTAATGCCAGGCCTTTAATGCCTCCTGGCTGGGGACCGGGTTGTGTCTTTGCAGAGCTCCAATGATGACATCCTAGAGGAGCAAGCTAACAGGTTCACTGATGCCAGCAATGGCTATAAAGGAAAAGTGGTCCAGGCCAAGAGAACCGTCCAGTGCAAGTCTGAGGTGAGAGGTAGCCCACACCATGACCCTGAGGTGACTGGGGTGGGGCCAAAACTCAGACTCCAATCTGGGGCATCAAAGTTCTCACAGAACCACTCCCAAAGGAAAAGTTCCTCCAACCTTTGAGACCAGGTCTCTGATAGGATAGAAAAAACAGTCTTTATGTATTTGTTGGGGTCACAGAAAAATTTTTTTTTGTTGTCTTTGTGTTTTTGTAATTTCAAATGTTTAATTCCCTGCCCCAAGTATCCTGTGGACCAATCCCAGCTCAACTGGCGTTGCAGACTTTCTCCAAACCGTATGCATCATCCCACTTGATAGTGCTGTGTATTTAAAAAAGTGGGAAGAACGTATTGGATATTTTCTCTGTAATCTAACATTACACAAAGCATGGCCAACCATTGAAGAGTGGCCCGGTCAGGAGCTGTGGCCTTACCCACCTCCATATCATTCCATCGAGGTTGTTGTTTTCCTCAGTGATTCAGGCTTTCACTGTTGTTAGACCTTGTTGTGAATCAGTTCTTGCTGGTTCAGCAGGGCTGCTGGGAACATCCCCACTGGGTGCTAATAGACTGTATGAGTGTGCCAGGTCTGCCATTACACAGGACCACGGATGTGGTGGAAGGCTCCTGACACCCCCTGGTTCAGTACCTTTTCTGTCTTTGCAGACCTCTAAGGAGGACATCTTCAAGGTAGTGGCCCATGGGCCTGACTACACCACCTACCAGGTCAGGGTGCAGGTGAACCAGGCTGATGACACCGTCCAGTGTCTGTCTGAGGTGAGAGCTGGCCCAGGGTGATCTCCACATCCAGGGCCTGAAGATGACCAGGGAGGGTGTCAATCTGCAAACTCCCCAGGGCCCTCTCAGGGCTTTCCCACTAGCGTGTCCACAGTCCCATGACAAACCAATCTGGAACTCCACTCCCCCCACCAGTTCCATGAGAGAATAGGAAAACATCCCTCACATGTTCATGGGAATTTTAAAGAAACAATTATATTGTTTTACTTCATTGGAGACTTCCAGCACATTTTGTATTTTGCTATTCTGTGTTTTAACTACCTGCCCCAGGTAACCTGTGGAGCAGTCAGCTCCGTTGTCCTTACAGACCTTCTCTAAGCCTCACTCATCATCACACTTGACTGGGTTGTCTTGCAAAAAAGATGGGAGGAAGCAAAGTATTGGATGCTTTTCTCTGCAATTTGTCATCTCACAGAGCAGGGCACAGTACCCTAGGCCCGCTGGGTCAGGAGCTGCAGCCAACTCACTTCCATATCATCCCATAAAGGATGCAGTCTTCCTCAGGGATGCAGCCTTTCAGGGTTGCTGACCATACATGATCCACCTCTGCTGCCTGTTCAGCAGGGCTGCCAGAGCTTCCTCATTATGTCCTAATAGACAGTCTCAGTTTGCCAAGGCTGCCGTGGTGTAGAACCACAGATTGAGGTAGAAGGTTCTTGAAGCCTACTGGCCCGGTACCGGGTTCTGTCTTTGTAGAGCTCCAACCGTGTCATCACTGAAGGGCTGGTCAGCGGGTTCAACTACTCAAACTCCCTCAACCTGAGGAAGGTGCATCAGGCCACAGACACCATCCAGGGCTGGACTCAGGTGAGAACTGGCCTTGAGGGTCTCTATACCCAGAAAACCTGGTCACCTGACAGTGCCCAGAGCCCAGACTCAAATCTGGGAGCACCCAGAGGCCCTCACAGGGTTCTCCCCAGAGTGTGCTTCAGCCTCATGACAGGGAACTCCAGACTTCCACCTCTCCCTCCTGTTTCATGGCAGAGTAGAAACACTCTCCTCACATATTCATGGAAATATTAGAGTGAAATAATTTTGTTTAACTTTATAGTAGCCCAGGAGCACATTTGCCCATTGGTTTTGTTGTTTAAACTACCATTGCCAGGATCCTGTGGAGCGGTCAGTTCCACTGTCCTTGCAGACCTAGTCCAATAATGGAGGTCATTTGCCAAGCACTGCAGCCTTTCAGTACTGTTATTCATGGGCATGATTCAGTTCAGCTGCCATGTCAGCAATCCTGCCTGGATCACTAAAGTGCATGGGAATGGACTGTGTTAGGTTGCTCAGGCTACCACACATAGGGCGGCACTGGGTGGTGTCAGCAGCAGTCATTCATTTCCCCACAATTCTGGAGGCTAGGAGTGAGACAGGAGGCTGTCAGCAGGGCTGGTGTCTCTTGAAGGGTCCCTCCTCAGCTTGTAGATGGTCGTCTTCTTTCCCCTCCTCTTCTAAGGACACTGGTCAGATCAGATTAAGACCCACACCACTGAATTCAATTCACCTCATTACTTGCTAAAAGACTAAAACTCAAATGCAGACACATTCTGAAGTTCTGGGGTCCCAAAATCGGGGATCTAGGGGATCACTATTGAGATCACAATATGCAACACCTCCCTACCTCTGAAGATGGATGCCCATTGCTGGTGTAAGGACGTGCACATGAAAAGTTAATGGCTGCAGGGAGATTCCAAACCCAAAGGGCTGTAGCAGTCATGGTGCCAACAGCAGTTTCTGATCATGGCTGATGCATTACTCCCTGCCTGGCCTGGGGATTTCGCACTCATTGAAATTTTCACCAGTCAGGTTGGTCAAGGCAATCACAGTGTTCCATCACTGGCAATTGCCTCACAGGGATACTGGGTCACCTGTCACTTTACACCCACCACATGGATTTCTTCCCTTTGGAGTCCTCTATTCAGATTCATGCTTAACGATCACACTCCTCCAGTCTGGAGACTAAAGGCATTTGCCCATTTGCAGAATCTGGGTTCTCCACAATGAGGGTCTAAAAATGCCCTTTGATGTAAACGAATGAAACAAAAGTGTTTTTGTTGTTTTTTTTTAAAGTCAATGTTTTCATAGGCCATGTCTCTGATGGATACCTTCCCCACATAGGGGATGGGCAAGGTTCCTACCACCTTTGCATCCATGTCGGGGGCAGATAAGTCTCATGTAGCTGAGAGAAAATGTCATGCAGGACAGTTTGCGTTTCTGACCTGCATGCACTTGAGAAGACAAGTGACATCACTAAGCTCTGTGATCTCATCTCTATAATGGGGATGGTTCTTGAAGCCTCATGGGGACAATGATCATCATAGAAACTATTTTAGGTTTGTTGTTCCTAAGCTAAACCAAACAAGCATACAAACCTGCCCAGAAAGTAGCAATTACACCAACATGCCCCACTCATGAACTTCAGTGGAACATTAAAAACCTAGAACCTCATTCCTGAGAGTCTGGGACTCCTGTGTGAGCTCTAGACCTCCACCTCCTGGGATTCTTGGAGATGCCACTGACTGGATGTCCCACCTTGTCCCACACAGTGTGCCGCTGAGTTAACTCAGAGACTTCGTGAGGCCTGCAGGATGCGGGTCATCCAGAAAGGCACCTTGGAGAAGGTGATGGGGTCCCTGGTCCCAGCTTTCCCGGCTGGAAATATCCCCCACGTCTGCACCCTGATGCCCATCCACCCGGCCTTCTCCAGGGCCCAGTGGTTCCTCGAAGAGCTATTAACAAGGTGAGCACGTGTCCCCTCTCCACTGCAGTGGGGACTCTGCCCATTGCTATCTGTGTGTCTTGACAATGTCATCTCATCACTCTGAGCCTCAGAATGCTCCTCTGGAAAGCGTGGTGGTACAGGATCAACATCATAGGGCTCTTGTAGGCACTGATGTAGGGACAAGCCATGGCAGTGCTTACCTGCTGCTTGGCTCAGCAGAAAGGGCTGCTGGATCAGCTGTGGTTTTCATTCCACTTATGTCTGTCTGTCCCATGGAAAGTGCAATGAACCCACATCAGCAGCCTGTGGCATCTGAGTTTGGAAAAGCAGTGGGAGAAAACCTGTCAAGAAATTTGAGATTTCACCAGCTGACCTTGTCCTGGTCCTTGGTGTAGCCACATGGCAGATAGCAGGGGATAGAAGGGATCCAGGCCCACTCAGATGGCTCAGATGGTTCTGGTTGGAGCTCATTTTATTCAATTGTGCTAAGCTCCTACCACAGGCAGGCACTTTCGGAGACACTTAGATTCACTGGAATGAAGCAGACACAGTCTCTGGCCTCTGTTCTAGTCACTAAGTCAGAAAGTCAAACTGTCCATGATTCACAGGTCCTGTGCACCATCCCTCAGATCGGATGCCATCAAGGTCTTCTCTGCCTCTGGAGGGATACCTCTGCATAACGATTGGGGTGACACACCACAGGAGCAATTATTAAAGTGAGTGTTCTGTGGGAGCAGAAGGAGGGTCTCCAGTGTTAGCAGAGTGGGTGCTTAGGAAGGGCAGAGTTTGGCAGATCCCCAATATTACACATCTACCGATTCCCCAGGGTGGCCTGAGCTCTGATGACTCCTCCATAAGGAGACATGAGTCAAACAGGACAATGGATGGGGTCCCTGGCCTTCTTGACCCAGAGGAAATGCTGGGCTGAGTTTACCCTCATAGTTCAATCCCCACCTCAGACCCATCCTGCTCTGCCTGCCCCTCTCCACATCCATCTCCCCTGACCCCCACAGGTGGGCTCAGAAAATGATGGTGGTGAGCAGGCTGCTCACAAGTCTGTCTCAGTCCTCAGCCCAGATGCCCAGGGGTATGGAGGGTTGGGGTGGGCAGTGTAAAAAACCTTCAGGAGAGCTGCCAGTGGGAAGAAGAGTCTCACACAGACTCCATGTTAAACCTGCTATTTCCACGAATGCTCCAACCATGACAGCCACACAGGTGGCCAGGATTGGCAAAGGACTCTCCTCTGGATGGGGAGGGGCCTGTACAGCAGCTCAGTCCTAAATAAGGGTGTCATGGAAGGGCAAAGTGGAAGGAATGACCAGGATTCTGCCTTTATTCCCCACCTGTCTCTCTTCAGGGCCACCGCTTCTGTGATGGGAACCTGGCCAGACCTGATACAACATTTTGGCCAGCCACTCCTTTTCCCTGGGTTCATCGTGAAGCAGACCTTGGTGCTGCACAGCCTCCCTGTCAAATGCCCGGTGGGCCTCGTAAGAAGTCTTTGGGTGGAGCTGCAGCAACAGGAGCCTACAGAGGCTCAGTGGGAAGGTGAGGGGACTGTAGTCTGGGAAGAGGATTGGGTGAGTGGGGTGGGGGATGGGGTGTTTCATAGGATAGTCTTCCATTAAAGACAGTCACATCTTTCCTGTGTGTGGAAATGCATGGGAAAGTGTGGCATGTGCAAGTACCTGTCTCTTTAACCTGCTCTACAACCACTTAAAGAGCTCAAGCACACTCAAGAGCCAGAGGAAGGGCCTGCTCCTGGGCTAGAGCCCAATCCAGGTGTGATAGTGCTGGAGCCTTCTGGACCACCAGCTCTGATCCAAGAGCCAGCTCCATCCCCAACAACCGACTGCCCCGTGGCTGTGACCCTTAAGCACCATAGAAGGGAGGAGAAGCTTGGCCTCCTGACATTCCCTCCAAGACTGGTGGCCGAGCAAATAACAGCGATGGATGCAGTGAGTCTTGGTCTTTCAGGTGGGAGGGACAGGACTTTCCTCTGCCCTTGGCTGCCCAACCTGCCTTTCCCTGATCTCAACTCCTATGATCTTGATGCAAATCGCAGCTCAACCCCTTTCTCACCCATGCGTCCTTGATAACTTTCTCAACCCCCAAGCATTGCTGTCCAGCCAACTCGGTGGGCTGTGGAGGTGGGCACCCCAGGCCCTGCTGCACAGAGTGGCTGTGCAGATTAAATGAGGGAGAGGAGACAGAAAGCTGGGTGGGGTGTGGCCCGGATTGTGGGGAGGGGAGCTCTCTGTGTGCAGCCAGATCCATGGCTAAACCATCCAAGAGAACATAGGTTTAGTGGCCTCAGCACTTATCAAGCCATTGATGTGTGTTTAACACCAAGTGAGACAAACAGCTGTGGTTGTAGCTGTCACAAGGGAATGTGCACTGAATGGGGAATTATTCCAGAGGGATGTCAGATGCTGGAAGTTGCCCTTTTTGGGTGAGCAGAAGTAAGCCGCTTCCTGGAGCTTGGAGTCCCTGAGGATGGGCTGGAGGGAGGTACTCCTGACCACCTGTCTTGGGCCCCCACCCGTCTTGGGCCCCGGGTCATCGAGTGCTGGGTGCCCTGGGACCCAGTGCACCCATGGACTCCAAAGCTCAGGCAAATCCTCAGCTTCCTGAACATAGTGTCTCTTTCAGGGACTGGGAATCCTGAACTGGGGGGTGGCAGGGCTGGGTGACACTCCCCTTTCTTCCCAGGAGCTGTTCAAGAAGGTGCTGCCACACCAGTGCCTGGGCTCCATCTGGTCACAGAGGACTAAGCCTAGAAAGGGGCACATGGTATCCACTGTCAGTGCCACTGTCTTACAATTCAACCACGTGGCTACTTGTGTGATCACCACCTGCCTTGGGGACCCAAGCATGACGGCCCAGGACAGGGCCAAAGTGGTGGAGCACTGGATAAAGGTGGCCAAGGTATGTTAGGGGGGGCCCACCAGCATTCCTGTGGGGATCCTTGAAAAATGCCTTTGCTGCCCAGACAGCTGTCAGAACTGAGGACTGAGATCAGAGCCCCAGCACAGCCCCAGGTCCCCTCTGCCAGGCTCACTCAGATCTTGACTCTACCGATCCTGTGCTGGGAGGTTCACATCATTCTTGGTTCCTTCCTTGATTTGATTTGGGATCCTCCTCATTCTGAGAGTTGGTATTTGGGTGCTAAATGTCCCCTCCCTGAGCATCTGTCCTATCAAGAGGAGCAGCCAATCTAAGGTGCCTGAAGCGACAGCACATGTCTCACAGCACATGTCTCCTCTTCCCCAGGAGTGCAGGACCCTGAGGAACTTTTCCTCCTTGCGTGCCATCCTGGCCGCTCTGCAGAGCGTGTCCATTCATCGACTGCAGGAGACTTGGGGGAAAGTTTCCAGGTGCGTAGGCCTCTCCCATCACGGCAAGCCTGCTAATGTGTCTCCCAAATGTCTCCCAGTGTCCCCTCACCTCCTGGGAGGCAGCCAACCCTGGGGACAAAGACTGGTCTTGTGGGTCCGGTCTCTAAGGCTCTCTGGCTCCTCAGGCCACTAACTCTTCTTCAGGAGTCAGTCTCCTTCAATGCCAGACACTGCATTGATCCAAATGGGAGATTTTTGTGTTTCCAGTACCAGAACCCTATGCCCAGTTGAAACCCAAACTGATCAAAACAGAACTTCTCCTTCGATATGGGAAGGACGCCCATAGACCATCATGAGAGTCCTACCCCAGTCCCATGGAGACCCTCCTGCTCAGAGGAACCCAGTGATACCCTCACCAAGGCAGTAGGAAACATGAGATTGTTTAAAGGAATTCGCTGTTAACCCCTCTCGCCAATTTTTCCTAATCATGCCTTTCCTCTTTCCATCTCTTCAGGAGGCACACAGTTGCCGTTAAAAAGCTGTTCAAAGAGGACAACTCCCAAAGCAGGGAACAGTTCATCAAGGTAGAGTGAGCCTGGACGTCTGCAGAGAGGAGGCCAAGAGGGATGGGGAGACTTCACAGGCTGTGGCTTTGGTAGTTTGTCACTTAAAGGTTCCCTGGAAATGCTCACCCTCTCGGTCCCAATTACCAGGAAGAGGGATCTCCTTGGTCCTTGTGCAGATGAAACAAAAGAGCTGCTTGGCCTCAGGTCCCACTGGCTGGATCAGAGACAGAGGGGTGTGCTCTCTGAGACTTCCTACTGGGCCCCTATAGCACTCGCTGCCAGTCAGTCCCCTCCTGATTGACATGCAGGGGTGACCGTCTGTGCTGCAGGCCTCACAAAGTGGTCACGATTTCAGGACAGGAAAGATCTGTGCAGAGCTCCCTGCCCTGTCCTACCTGGAGGGCTGAGGGTGAGAACAATGATGGCAGGAATGACACTGAGTCCTCAGGAGAATCTGTGAGCTAGGTGGAAGTTACCCCCTTTCAGAGGATGGATGGGTCAAGGAAGTCAGGCCCAGACCTTGGTCAATCATACCGAGTGAGCATTGCAGTTGGGAGGCATCCAGAATCAGAGCATGTTGGAGTCAGTGTGGCACTGGTACTGGCTGACTTGGGTCAGATGTCCAGGGTGTGAGGTCAGGAGTGGTGGGGAAGTGGGGTGAGGTGAGCATGAGCTCAATGACTCTGCCATCCACCCTGGTGGAATCAGTCCTCCAGGTTTGCCTCTATGATGTTCTGCCTCCGAAGATCCAGGAAGGGGCTGCACAAGAAGGTGAGTGAGCCTTTCTGGGGAATGCTCCGTGGTCAGAGCAGAGGGTGTTTGTGCTCCCCACTGGAGGCCTCCAAGTCAAGAGAGGGAGGTTTTCTTCCTCCAACCCCATCTCTTGTGCCCACAGAACCTAAAACACTCCCTTAGACATGACCACGAGGAGGGCCTAGGGGAGCTGAGTGTAGGATGCACATGGACGTAGGTATTGCCCAAAGGAGATCCTGGGAGGTGATCAAGAGGGGTTCCTGCAGATGAGGGAGGAAGCAATTGAGAGGAGGCCCTTAGGCACCTGGGCTATTCCACATGAGAACCCTGAGGTGGTCGGGTGGCTGACAGTGGGAGGCTTTCAGGAGAGGGCCCGTGGGCACCAGAGAGAATGGACTGATCCCACCCTCACCCTGTTTGCCCAGTGTGTTCCCTTCCTGGGAGAATACCTGACTCTTCTGCACAGGATTGCCGTGAGCATGAAGGATGATCTGGAGGTTGGTAACTGGGGCCTGAGCTGCGGTGACCAGGATTGACCTTGGGGGACAGAAAGCCCCATACTGAGCCCTTACTGAGTTCTCAGCACAGTCTCCCCTTGGAGCTGGAGTGACAGGCTCATCATAGCCATCTGTTACACCCTCCTCTGGAGCCCAGAACCTGGCCTTGATCCAAGTTCTGTCTTTTCCAGTTTCCCAACCCCTCCTGGGTCTTGGTGGTAGTGTAACATGCAAAAGATGGGCACAAGGGTTTCTTTCTGATGGACCTTAGGTGTCTGACTTTTAAAGGGAGTCAGATCAATAGAGAAAAAAAAAAAAAAATGAAAAGAAAAAAAAAAGGAAAGAAAACCTGAGGTGCTGGGCACCTCCTGAGGAGGAGGGGAGGGGAGTGAGAATCAGAAATACCCTCGCCAGCACACGTAGGGACTTCACCTCTTGCATCTTCAATTTTTTGGGAGATTTTGATAACAGAATGGGGAGAACCCTCCATTTGATGGCTGAGGGCATGGGAGTGGCATCAAAGATAACCTTCTATAAGAAGGGCTGTTGATGGCCATCTCTGAGCATAGGAAGGGTCTGGGTGGAATTAGGTGGAAGCAGAGTGCCCCTGTGTTCAAAGATTGAGAGCTGTGCCCCTGCTCCACTCTGCACTCGCACTGAGGCAGTTTCTGCATCCTCTCCTTCCCTCTGGCCCCAGGTGGACAAAATACTGCAGGAAATAGTGGTGCTGCAGGAGGCTGCCCGGAAGTATAAAATACAACCTGAGAACAACTTCCAGGCCTGGTTCTGGGCCCTGAAGCGGCTCAGTGAGCATGAGAGGTGAGGCTGGGCGGGAGTTGGGCAAGAGCAGGAGTGGACGCTTTCTGCTGGTCAGTCCAGAGAACCATTGTCCATGGCTCCCTGATCCCGCACAGACCTTGCTGTGTAGCAATTCCTGGGGCTCCTAACCCTGGGAGGGACACCAGAAGCCTGGGAGCTCACAGGTGCCACTCTGTCCTGCAGTTACATCCGGTCCTGCCAGCTGGAGCCACAGTCATAAGAAAATATTCTGGACGTTTGAGACTCAATGTGAACTATACCTATTTCTCTCTCTCTCTCTCTAGTTATAATCCCATGTAAATATACCTTTAACAGTAGTTATAAATACATTTTTATTATGTTTATGTTTTGTAAAATATTTACCGATATTAAAATTATTTCTGCAAAATGATATCTTCCAGTATCTTTTTTCCTGCTTCATGATAAATTATATAATTTGCCCATAGTTAATGGACTTAAAATTATTTTCTTCTCTACTTTATGAATAACTCTTTGATGATAACTGTTGTATAGGTACCTCTGAACATTTATTCAATTCATTTTGAATCATTGCCTGCAAATAAAATTTGTTTCAAAAAAGCACATTTGATATTTTAGTAAGTATGCATTTTGAATCATTTCATCAAATGTCCTTGCAATATTGATTGGGAACTCTTCAGCTTAGTAGATTGGGTTAAGAGGAATTCATTCCCTGGCCCCTTTCTGAGGTCTGTGTTGAGCACCTCCTATGGGCCGGGCACTAGAAGCACAGTGCTCAACCCAACAGAATGTCCTGATGGCATGTTTGTATGAAAGAGTCAAAGCAGCCAGCACATGCATACAGTGAAATCAGAATGCATGCTCTGAACAAAAAGTAACGCAGAGAAAGAGATAAAAGCTTAAGAGGTAATGTTGTGTGTAGGATGTTGTGAAGGTTTGTGGGATGGAGGTGATAGTTGAGGCTGCTTTGGGCATATGCATAGATGACCA